GCCATATCCAGGAATCTCATAAAGCCATGTCCTCTGGAAAATATTTAGAAAAAGACAGACATGTCCTCAGAAATGTTTAAGCTTAAGTTTAAATTCCGAACCAAAATAAAGATTTCATAAAGTTCCTCCTTGCCATTAATTAATTCTAAAATAAACTGGGTAAGATGAAAAGTAATTCCTAAGCCTTGGCCCCTCCCAGTTGGAACGCAAATCAGCCTTGAGATTTATGTCTGTGAGTCCAGATCCCTCTGTTGGGGAAAAGATTTTACTGACGGTTTACCCCTGGAATTCTGTGCCTGGGGGAAATGGACTTTTTCATTCCTCTCCCTTTCCCAATGTAATGAGGAGTGAAACTGGAGTGCCAGGACTAGAAACAGGGATTCCGGGAACAGCTCTGGAAACTCTGCTTCCAAGAACAGATCACCAGGGGTTCCCCCTAGAAATCCAGCCTTGCCTATCAGTAAACCAGAGTTTGTATGCATAAATTCATCCCACAACACAAATCACGGCTCTTATTAGAAATAATAAATATGACTAACTAGAAATACCTGGGGCACAGAGTTCCAAATTCAGTATGCTGGACCATTTGGGTGGAGTTAAGGCTTATCTGCAAAGGGTTCATTTTTCTAGATTAGCTCCTGAAACAGACACTGTTTAGATGGAACTGAAGAGGTTCAGAACGAGCCTCCCTAAAATGTGCTGCTTTGGCATCTGGATTGCTTTAAGCTGAAGTCAATTGAGGCCCGAAAGACTCAGGAAGAGCTTTTATTTTGCTTTGAACTGCCTAGAGTAATTTAGACAGAGTGCCTAGTCCAGGAAGAGAACTATCATCAGAGATAACTGCAGAGACTATGAGCTAGGTATGGTAGCCATGGGAAGCTCAACAGGGCCTGTTCGTTCAGATTCCTTTTTGGCTCCACCGTCCCTGCATGTGATGGCAAACACTTAACCAATCACTTGCTTTTCCCAGCTTCCTGTAAATCATCTTCCTCTGCTTTGAAGTCTCAGACCTCTACCCCCATCCTCATAGCTCTGGAGACCATATAAGCCTCAATTGCCTGACCACCTGTGGGTCTCATATTCTTATGGGCCTTCTGTACGTATGTAATTAGATTTCTTTTTCTCCTATTAGTGTATTTTATGTCAACTTAATTAATAGACCCAGCAAAAGAACCTAAAAGGGTAAAGGAAAAGTTCTTTCTCCTCTATAGAACACAGCAGAGCTTACCCTGGATGGTAAAAATATGCAGAAATCCTACTAAAATGATCAGGACAGAAAAGCAATTCCCAAGTCCCATCCTGTATAGCATAAGGTTAAGCACACAGGCATTAGAGACAGCCTATCTGGGTTCAAGACTTGGTTCTGCAGTTCACAAACAAAGCCACCCCAAGTAGATTCCTCATCTTTGCACTTCAATTCCTTACCTATAAAATGGGTAGAGGGGCACCTGGGTGGCTCAGTTGGTTAAGCCTCCAACTTTGGTTCAGGTCGTGACCTCACAGTTTGTAAGTTTGAGTCCTGCATTAGGCTCTGCGCTGATAGCTCAGAGTCTGGAGCCTGCTTTGGCTTCTGTGTCTCCCTCTCCCTCTCTGCCCCTCCCCTGCTTGTGCGTGCGTGTGTGCGTGTATGTATGTGTGTGTGCAAGCACGCGTACTCTCCTTTTCAAAAATAAATAAATATCTTAAAAATTAAGTAAAATTGGTATAATAGTAGTTACTACTTTACAGAATTATGGTGAGAATTAACTGACATAATGCATGTTAAGTACTTAGAAGAGTACCTAGCACATAGTGATCAGTAAGGGTTAAATATTATCATCACTGATAGAAAGGGGCCTGTAGCACCTGTCCTGTGTCTCAAGACAGTCAATTCTCTCAGAGGCTTGAGGGCTCAAGCTTCTGGATCAGCACTTATCCATCCCCTAGTCTGCCTTTCTCATTCATTTACTGAAGTCAGAGTAACTATTGCTGGGTTCCCCAGTCAATTGTTGGGCATCTTCCTTTAGATAAGAAACCATTATTCAGGCAGGCTTTTTGGGGGGACTGGCCACCTAGGTTTAACTCTTCACATCTTCTGACATCCACCCAGACAAGCCTGTGAGCTCCAGTCTGGCTTCTTTGAAGGACTCAGTAGTTGAGAGAAAAAGAAATCAAAAGCTTTCACAACTATGCAGTTCCAAACAACTTCAGGTTGCCTTTACCTCTAATCTGTAATCCAGAAACAGGCTCATGTCTCTCCAGTCCATAAAAGACCAGTTCTCCCTTCCCAGCAGTCCTCAGCACAGTGGACATCTGCAATATGATGATTTGTAAGAAATGTATATGTACACATATATATAAATGACCAAAATATATTTCTCATATATATTTAGTTTTCACCCACAGTTCCTGGCTCACAGCTTCTAAAACCCTTGGAATTTCCTGAGCAATAGGGCTATGGAAGCATCTTTTGTGATGTTTGGTCTGTCTTCAGTTCCTGAAAATGCTTCAGAGCCATGAAGGTAAAATGGGTGTCATGTTGTTCATAACAACCTCCTTTCCACCACAACTGGGTTTGTTAACAAAGGTGGCTTGGGGCGCCGGGGTGGCTCAGTCGGTTAGGTGTCTGACTTCAGCTCAGGTCATGATCTTGCAGTTCATAAGTTCGAGCCCTGTGTCCGCATCTGTGTTGACAGCTCAGAGCCTGGAGCTCGCTTCGGATTCTGTGTATCCCTCCTTCTCTCGGCCCCTCTCCTGCTCACACACTGTCTCTTTCTCTTTTGAAAATAAATAAACATTAAAAAAGTAAAAAATAACAAAGCTGGCTTTGGGCAAGCACTTAAGGATGGGGGCTGGTTTCCAGGGTAACTAACCATGAATAGTGGGTTGGAACTTTCAGTCCCACTTCCTGATTTCAGGGAAAGGGAGAGGGGCTACAGTTTGAATCAATCACCAATGGCCAATGAGTTCATCAACCATGTCTATGTAATGAAGCCTCCATAAAAACCCCAAAGGAGGGAGTTCAGAGCTTCCAGGTTGGGGAACAGAACTGTCCCATGTGCCACCGTGCCAGGGTCCCAAGCTCCATGAACACAGAAGCTCCTTTGTTCAGGGCATCATCATGTGTATCTCTTCACAGGGCTGTTGATCTGTATCCTTTAATAACCTTTGTAATAAATCCTATTCTAGTGATAAATGGGTTTCCCTGAGTTCTGTGAGCCATTCTAGTAAATTAATTGAACTCAAAGAGAGGGTCAAGGGAACCTCTAATTTATAGCCAGTTGGTCAGAAGTGTAGGTAACAACCTATACTCAGCAGTTGGCATCCTGAGTTGGAAGGGGGTTGTTGGAGCCTCCAGATTATAGCTGGTCAATCAGAAGCACAGGTAACAGCCTGGGCTTCTGATGGTGTCTGAAGTGGACGGTGGTCTTGTGGGACAGAGCCTTTTACCTGTGGAATCTGATGCTATCTTCAGGTTGATGAATTCTTGAGTTGAATTCTTGGCTACCTTGTTGGTGTCCGAGATTGCTTGTTGGTGTGGGGAAGCCTCTACACACACATCAGAACTGAGTCCAGGAATCTCAAAGAACATCCCGGGAATAGAAACTGCGGTCCCTCTGCAAACCCACCCCTCTTCCTTTCAGGCTGTCCTGGGCCAGCTGTCAGGAACCACATTCAACTGGTCTAAGCCAGAGATATCAGCTTCCACTGACTGTTCTGGAGGTAGCTGGTAGGAGCTGCCTTTCCCCAGTCAAGGCCAGTTGCTGGCTAGATTCCATTCACTCCCCCATATCACAGTCTAAACCCTGCATGGCTAAGCAGAATCCTCTGTACCTGCTTGCTCCCAGTTGCGTGAAGTCAGGGACTTATTATTTTCTTGAAGGAGAGGACAGGAAATGCATTCAGTCGTCTATCTGACATTTATCAAGCACCTCTTGTGTGCCCCTGACCCGGATACTGAGGAATCCCAGCCTAATGTGGACAGCTAATATTAGGGTTAGGAGATCTATGCAGAGGTAGGTGCTGGCTTCTATGTGACTTTCCTGCCGCATCATTTCAGAAGTGTTGTAAAGCTTCTCCAATCCCTAAGCCTCACATCAGATTATTGGACACCTATTGTCCCTTGGGTGGAGGTGGGTGGTAGAGCAGGATCTAGTATCCTGCACAGTGCCTGGCTCTGGGGTGTTAACTGGGTGGAATGAAAGGTGATGCCTTGCTGTCACCAGTTTAGATTATGGCGCCCAGACCCTATTAATACCAGGTAGGTGGGAGGGCTGCAGGGGTGCATGGCATGAAGCCAGCTCCTAGGAGGTAGACAGGTAGAGAGAGAGGCCCTTATTGCAGCCATCCTCTCCCTGCTCTAAGCTCAAGTGGCAGGCCTGCCCCTAACATTTGCAGGCCCAGAGAACAGCACAAATGAAGATCCACTTACCATGTAGCTAAATTTGTATAAAGTACAAGCTAATTGTGGATGATCTAGCCTTCTATCACGATAAGCCTGGAAGGCCAGGTTTGAATTTAGACTTGTAGCACTCCTTGAAGTTCTGTACCAGAATGTTCCCCAGTCTTGGTCCCCAGCCTACTGCCTGCCTTCTCTCCCCCCAGGGCAGATCCACCTCACACTGCAAAAGGGCTTTGTAGGTACTTATAAACACTCCCGCTTGCATATCCAGGCTCCAGCCCCCCAGCTCTCCAACAAACAGCTGTCCGTTGGTCGTCTCTCAGGCCTAGGAATGTGCAGTCTGTTGGGACCCAGAAAAGAAGGGAGGGAAAGTGGGCTTTGCAGGGAATTCTGGGGTCCTACAAGGAGAAAGGGCATACATCCCCTTGACCTTGCATTCCGTGGGGAGGGTCATGGCAGGGCCTTCTGAAGGGAGAGTCCAGAGAACTGACCCTCGCCCTCTTGCAGTGGGATTTTCCAGGCTATAAGCTCTGATAGCGAAGGCAGCCCCCCGATGCTTCTCTGGTTTGTCTCCCTGTCAGCCCCACCCTGAGAGGCAAAGGATAAACAAGCAGACAAGTACAAAAGAAAAATACTGTTTATTCCACACAACTACATCCCAGTTTCCCCCTCCCCACCCCGCGCTCCAGCTCTCAGCAGGCTTTGCCCCATGTCAGGGAAGAGTCAGGACCTCAGTGTCAGAGCCTGGCTTATGAGACAGGAAGGGAGTCTAGGCAGAGGAAGGTGACTGGAGGGTGACTGGGTCTCCAAGGACACAAAAACGTCAGGGACTCTCATTCCAAATTCAAGTGCGGTCCTCAATCCATTTGGCCAAATTCTTTCCCGGTTGCCCCCGTAGATAAAATGCTATGGATGGTGCAGGGCCAAAGACCCCAGCTGATTCACCAGCCTGTAGGAAGTTTTCATGTTTCTTTCATTTAAAACAAAAACCAACAAACAAGACCACACACAAACAGTTAAACCATTTCTGCCCTCTCTCCTGCCTTTTCATGGCAAAGGAGCCACTAAGCTCTGGCTTCCGTCCAGAAAGGTGCTTTCAAAACAAAATTCATGGGGGTATGGCTCAGTGGTAGAGCATTTGACTGCAAAACAAAATTCATATCGACACCCCTCAGAACCAGATGCTACCAGAAACAAAACAGAAAACCCACCTCTGGTACGGATAGCTGTTCCCCGAGGGCTCTACACTGGGGGGAGCTTCTGGGACACTCTGCACCCCCTACCTGGGGAATTCAGCCTGCAAAAATTCTGCCCGTTTCATTCCTCTGAATGACCTACTCATCCTTCCTTCAGAGGAGAAAATGGTGTCGTTCTAACCCAGCCTTGGGAAGACAGATTTAGACAAGGGAGGAGCTGAGAGAGCGTGGCCAGGCCTAATTTAGACCAGGACTTCATTATCTTCTTTTCACAGACCAGGACAGATGGTATCGTCCTGCATATACACTCGGACACACCCTGGATTATATGCTCCTCGCAGGGCTCCAGCTGTGACCCACTTGCCTCTCCCCAAAAAAGAAAGCATATCTGAACACAAGTGTTTGTGGGTGAAAGCCTGTGTCTCCCAAATTTATGGAAGTGTAAGTCCCTGAATCCTTCAAACCCCAGTACTCCAACTCTTCTTGCTGAAAACTTGTTTACAATGCCCTTCCCAAGTGAGCCCCTCATCTCACTGACACAGGTGGATAAGCCTGAACTTGAGCATGAAGCCTCCCCCTTGGAGATGTATTCTCTCCCGGGAGCCTTGGGGCAGGCAGGGTGCCCGCCTGCTTCCTCATTCCCACCACACTCTGGAAAGTTTGGCCGGTCCAAATGCAGTGGGGCAGGAGTGTGTGTGTGCATAGGAGAGTTGGGGGAAATTTGACACACAATTGTCCTCTCGCTGGCAGGGCTACCAAGAGAGTGGCCTCTCTGGTGTTGTAGGGCCAGACAGGAACCAGCTGTAGGCAAGAAACAAGCCAGAGGAAGCCAGATGAGGAGGCGACTCTGTGCCAGTGACCAGTGGAGGCAGGATGTGCCCTGGCCTGGCAGCCACTTTGTCAGGGCATATCGTGTGAGGTGCCATGGAGGGCAGTTGCTGGAGACCTGGCTCTGTGATTTGTGGTCCTTGGGGACGGTCTACACAGTGAGCCTAGCTTCATCTAAGCAAGCCTCTTAGTGCTCTCCCCACCTCCCGGGGTAATATACTGAGTGCCAGAGGTTGTCCAGCCACAGCGAGGCTGGGAAACTCACTTAGCAGCTTGGATGGGCTGCCCCCTCCAGTGGGCCACCACTGTCCTCTCTACAGGTAAAACCCACCCTGCTTCGGGGTGTATTCTTGACTCAGAGGAGCTCTGGCGGGCGGGGACAGTTGGCGGGGGGGTTGTTTGCACAAACACATGGTCTAAGACTCCAGACAAAACAAGATTTCTCCTCCAGTATCCAAGGCTCGAAGTCACCAAGAAAATTAGAGTTAAGTCACCTTCCACAAGAGACTTTCCTGGGCTGCCATCCATTCTTTCTGGATGTTGGCCTTTTCCCCAGGGCCTTGCTGTCTGGTTTAGGGTTTCACATGGCCCTCTGAGAAGGCCCAGCACTGGGTTGGGGGTGAATGGGAGGACAAGAGAGAGTCAGCATTCCTTTCCTCATTTCTCTCCGGGGTGCTGTGAGCTTGGGCAGTGGGATTTTCCAGGCTGCCGGTTCTTTCCCCCTCACTGTCTAGTGGGGGAGACAGCCACAGGCAGGGTTTAGATTAAAATCGGAAAGGATGGGTTTATCTATTAAGTTCCCAACCTGCCGTAGACCCAGGTCCACTCCAGGACGGCCAGAGTTCAAAGCTGCTTCCTTCCACCTGGATTACAAATGAATGGGTTCTGCTTTAGTGCAATTTCCCCCCAAAGGAAGCAGGGAGAAGTGGGAAAGGAGATCACACGTTCTGGCCCCGGGGGCTGCGGGAACCTTCTGACCTTGAGGGCAAGGCAGAAATTGAGCCTCACCTTCTGAGCAGCTCATCACACTTTTTGGAACTGTGCCTCTTGGGTCCTTTCAAGGACAGGGTACCTGCAGGCAAAGGGTGGGAGTCGAGGCTGTGGTTCCGCTGGACAAGCTGCTGGTACCTGTGACACTTCCACAGAGGAGCAGAGGGGAAGAGAGGGTGGAGAAAGAATGCCATCAAAGACAAGAGCTAAGGGCCAGTGGTACACAGGGGCTGTCGCAGCCCTGCCCCAGACATGGGGAGTTTCTGGTTCCCAACCAGAATTCACCCTTCAAAAACCACATAAGCAAAGTGCTTCTTTAAGTGACACCACTTAAGGGAGGGATCCCTTGACGTGACCAGCCCCGAGCCTGGAGCTCGCAGGTGGGCCCCTCTGCCCTCCCCGTGATGTGAGCTGCATGGAGGAGAGAAGGGAGGCAGTGAACGCACATGCACACAGTGGAGTCTCACGACCCAGGACCAGCGCAGCTGCACGTGGCGGAATGACAGGTGCCGTCACAGCAGTGGCCGCAGCCAGGGGCCAAGGGAAATGTACAAAGTGCTGGAACACAGGGCTGGGGGCCGAGCCCTAGGGGATCTGAAAGACATTCAGCTTGCTGGTGTTCTTGAGCGTCTGGCGCCGATTGCAGAACCAGACCCGCACGACCTCGCGGTCATAGTTGAGCTCCTTAGCAATCTCGGTGATCTCCTGGCCCGTGGGCAGCGGGTTCTTCTCGAAGTAGGCGTTCAGAGCCTCTATGGCCTGGGGGGTGAAGGAGGTGCGGCGTTTGCGTTTCTTGGAGGGCTCACCTCCCACGAACTCCATCAGGTTCTGCTGCCCTTCCTGGTTCCGGAGTTCGGCTTCGTTCAGCCACTTTTCCAGCACTGGCTTTAGCTTCTGGGCACTCTTGGGCGTGATATCCAGCTTCTCAAACCTGTGGGTGACCCAAGCCCCGGGAAAGGACAGTGAGAATGCCTCACCCCCCCACACTGGGGTGTGAGTACTCTCCACAAGAGGTCGCTCCTCTGAGGACTGGTCGGGCCCCGTTCTAAAGGTTCCCCTCAACACCCCCATCAAGCCCACCCCGGCTCAGCCAAGCCCAGACTCTGCAGACTATCCCATAACGTAGCTCATAAAAGGGGAACCATTCCCATGGCCTCAGTTCAGCGGTGCGACGATAACAGTCCAACTGCTGTCTGAACAACCCTTCCAGAACGTTCACACCCAAATGAGGGAGGTCCTTTGAGGAGTTATCTCGAGAGGACTTCAGAGGTGGCACATGGATATCGTGAGTGCTGTCCTCCCCGATTCAGACTCACAGCAGCGACACTGAGTCAGACTGCTCTTCCTGGCCGAGCCAGGATGTGACTACAGAACTGACAATGTGACACCTGGTCTCGCAGTCACTCTTGTCTAATCTGGGAGCTGGCGGGCACCTTTCAGCCATCCCTCAGCCATGCACTCATTCCTGTGTGCAACCCTCTGCCCTCCTTCGATGCTGGCATCAGAACTAGTCTGAATGCTGCACACAGAAAAATCAGCTTCATTCCTTTACAGTCATGCCTTGCGAGTCGGGGAGGGGAGCATAGCAGTGGGGAGGGAGCGTCGTGGTGAACAGCTAAGTCAGAACTGAAGTTCCCACGTATGTGACCAACCGCCTAGGCTAGACTCTTTCCCTGTAGGGTTCCTGAGTGGACTAGGGTCTTGGGTTCCCCCCAACGGAAGACCACATACATGCTCAGCCCTCAGACAGACTGGACCAGCCTTTGGCTACTGTAGGTGCTCCCATCTCCCCTTAGAACAGCCTTCCTGGTCTAGGAGGAGGTGGGAACAAGGGAGAATATGGGAAGGAGCCATGCCCCTGGGTCCCAGTAAGTACTTAGTGGCATCAGTGCATGAGCAGGCCTTGCTCATGCCTTGTCCAGAGCACCCTTACTCACCGGCAGATAGCTGACTGGCTGTAGGCTGGGCCTTCCGTTGCAGTCAGAGCCTGACCCACCTGAGTCTGCGTGAGGCCCAGGGACAGCCGCCGGATCTTAAAGTTCTTGGCAAACTCCCGGATCTCTTCCAAGTTGATTCCGTCCTCATCCAGACTCGGGGTATGTGGCTCTAGGTCAGAGGAAGGCACCAGGGGTGAGTGTGTAAGACGGGTGATGGCCCTGCCTATCAGGCCTATTGGCCTGGCCTGGCGAAGTAATGAGGGAGGAGGACATTTGACAAAAGGCCCGTGCCACCCTTAACACCCTCATCACCCCTGTTCCCAAAGCAAACAACACTTGAAGGACTGGGGCCTGGACTAGCCTGTCTGGAAGCAGGGGTCTCTTTTCCAGTTCTTCCAGCTCTAGGGGCTGACCCTCCCCCACTCACCCTCCTCCCGGCCCCAAGCACACCTTAGCCATCCTCCCTCCTCACATATTGGGTGAGAGACCAAATGAGAGGACAGCCAATGGATCAGCTTCTTGAAGAAGCGGCCCCCACTCTCATCGTGCCTCGCATGCAGCTCAGCAGCAATGGGAATAAGGAGGCCCATCCCTGCTGTCAGGCCTCTGCCCTTCCCCTTTGGACGCTAGAATGTTTATCAAGGAGGGCAGCATCTAAAGGGGCTGCGGCATCCAAATAAATGCCTCTCCTCTTCTCTACAACCTCTTTCAGGAGTCACTTACTGGATACCAACTGGCTGACCGTGGGGGTCTCGGAGCAGGTGATGGGAACGGGAGCAGAGGCAGACGGCTTGGCGGCCGGGGCCGGGCTGGCGATGACCACGGCGGGCGGCGGCACGGCCGGCGTGGGCTGGATGGGCTGCGCCTGGGAGAAGAGCGCCAATGAGGCCTGCCGGCCCGGCTCAGGGGGGCGCGGTCCCCACACGGGCCACAGGCAGGGCAACACGGGCATGAACTCCTCACTGACCCAGCACACTCCGACCTGTGCCCCATCACAAAGCAAGACTAGAAGCTACTTAGCACCCGCCCAATGACAGTGACCTCTGAAGTGAGGATAGCCACATGCCCCCCCAAGTCGGAGCCTCGCAGCCACCTGTGACAAAGGCAGGTCAGAGGCTCAGAAGGGTTCGGGACACTTGTTCAAAGCCCCCAGTGTCCACCCCTGAGATAGATGCTCTCGAATCTCTTCCCTCAGAATGGAAACCTACACCTGATCCTAGAGCCTCCCAGGCCCCAAATGTCCCTTAACTGGCCAATGCCTTGGGGGACCTCTTTACAATGAGATTCTGTGCAGCTATTAAAAAGAATACAGTGGGGCGCCTGGGTGGCTCCGTCGATTGAGCGTCTGACTTCATCTCAGGTCATGATCTCCTGGTTTGTGGGTTCAAGCCGGTGTTGGGCTCTGTGCTGACAGCTCAGAGCCTGGAGCCTGCTTCAGATTCTGTCTCCCTCTCTCTCTGCCCATCCCCCACTCCCTCTCTGACTCGCCCTCAAAAATAAATAAACATTAAAAAAATACAGTAAATCTCTTAATTAACCAACATGGAAAGAGCTCTGGGTCACAGTGCTAAGCAAAAGAAAAGATAAGGTGAAAACAGTTTTTATAGAATAATTCCTATAAAAAATACATATGAATTTCCAGGAAAAAAAAATCTTGAGGGATATAAAGCAAATTGTCAACAACATTTATCTCTGGAGGTGGACTTGTAAGGGATTTTTGCTTTTTTCCATTACACATAATATTGGAATTTTTATAAAAAGTGTATATCACGGGCGCCTGCGTGGTTCAGTCAGTTAAGTGTCCAACTTTGGCTCAGGTTGTGATCTCACAGCCCACGAGTTCAAGCCCTGCGTCAGGCTCTGTGCTGACAGCTCAGAGCCTGGAGCCTGCTTCAGATTCTGTGTCTCTCTCTCTCTGCCCCTAGGGCTCCTGCTCATGATCTGTCTTTCAGTCTTTCAAAAATAAATAAATGTTAAAAAAATTTTTAAAAAGTGTGTGTATAATATTTATCATCAGGAGAAACTATAAATATATGAAATCAGTATTTTTAGTATGATTTTTTAAAAGTAAACACTACCCTCAATGTGGGGCTAGAACTCAAAACCCCAAGACCAAGAGTCTCATGCTCTACTTACTGACAGAGCCAGCCAGGTGTCCCAGGATGATTTTTTAAAAAAAGCTTCCTGAGGGGCGCCTGGGTGACTCAGTCAGTGGAGTGTCCGACTTTGGCTCAGGTCGTGATCTCACAGCTCATGAGTTCAAGCCCCGCGTCAGGCTCTGTGCTGACAGCTCAGAGCCTGGAGCCTGCTTCAGATTCTGTGTCTCCCTCTCTCTGCCCCTAGGGCTCCTGCTCATGGTCTGTCTTTCAGTCTCTCAAAAATAAATAAATGTTAAAAAAATTTTTAAAAAGTGTGTGTATAATATTTACCATCAGGAGAAACTATAAATATATGAAATCAGTATTTTTAGTATGATTTTTTAAAAGTAAACAGTTTTGGCTCAGGTCATGGTCTTGCAGTTTCGTGAGTTTGAGCCCCACATCCAGCTCCATGCTGGCAGTGCGGATTCTGTGTCTCCCTCTCTCTGACCCTCCCCCACTCACACCGTCTCCATCTCTCTCAAAATAAATAAATAAACATTAAATAATAAAAATAAATAAAACAGCTTTCTGGAAACTGCACATTTCTCTAGGGTGGGTCCTATTCCTTGGATTCTACCCTTTGGTAGCTCTCAAGTCTAGTCCCTCTTCCTCCCCAAGGACTTAGCCTTAGTTCACGGCTCCTGGTTTCTTGCTAGAACTGTTTCAGCTGCCTCCTAATGGGTGACAAGGACTCAAGTCTGGCCACAGTTCAGTTCTTAGCTCCACCTGGAGAAAAGGTAATTTTTTTTAATAAACATCTAAATAGCCACTTCCCTGCGAAAAACCCTTCCATGACTCCCCGCTACGTAATAACAGTGATAAATAGAAGCACCATTTTTCCCAGTGCTTCCTGTGTACCAGAGTGTTAACTGTTTTATATGTAATATATACGTTAACATTCATAACCTTCTAAACTTGGTACTCGGATAATCTCCATTTTATGAATGAAGCTAGGAGGTTATTCCCAAAGCTTGGAAGCAGCATGCCACATTTGAAAGCCAAGGCCTCAACATCACCTGAGAATTTGCTAGAAATGCAAAATCTTGAGCCCCACTCCAGAACTACTGAATAAGAAACTCCAAGGGTGGGGGGATGTGTGTGTGCTGGGATACATTCCAACAAGTCTTCCAGGTGCTTCTGACACACACGTGTGGCAACCCCTGCTCTGGCACATTCTAATTCCTGCAATTCCAGTAAAGGAAGACCCACTTTCCCATCCACCTCATCCCTTTAGATTAGGTCAATGTCCCTTCTCTATGAAGCCTGGCTGAACTCCCCAGTTTGTCAAGAACTCCCTTCTCTGGGTCCCTACAGGGGCTTATCATGTCCCCATCATAGTCTTTGTCATACTGGCTTGCAATTGTCTCTAGAGGTGGGCTAGGAAAGGCATCTTACTCATCTCTAGATCTTCAGCCCCTGGAATATAGGAGGCACTCAAAAACTGCTCCTGGAATGAACAAATAAAGGAATCATCAAATTTGCAATGCGGAGTAAAGGGGTGAAGCGGAGGGGGTGCCGCATCACTTCCCGGGGCTTTCCCGGCAATCTGTTCACCCTGAAACTAATCAAGGCCCAGTTTGCTTTGACTACCTCCCTGGCCTTTTCAGAGTGGCACTGACCTCTGAGAGCACATACAGTTGTTTGTGGTGTGTGTGGGTAGGTGCAGGGGAGTGCTCTTTCCCTGAACAGAGTATGTGGGGACTCATTCGGGTCTTCTACTCTGGGATTTCCCCTCACTTTGGGGAGGCACCCTGTTTCCCAGGGGCTTCAGAAAATAATCTCGTCCTGCCCTGCAGTCTTGAGGGATGTAGTCCACACCAGCCGGCACTGCCTGTACCCTTCCTCCCCACCCCCCCACCCCCCGGCCCTGCCCTCGTCCCAACCCAGCCCTTGTACCTCACTCTTAGCAGGGGACTCAGGCGTGCTTGCCTTCCTGACAGCCACGGGCGGAGGCAGGGGGCTGCTGGCCAGGGTCGCAATCACCTGGCCCTGGGCATTCAACAGCAGTTGGGGTGTCACAGCCTGGACCTGCAGGCTTTGGGCTGGTGCCGGGGCTGCCACGCTAGCCGAGTTCACTACCCACGGAAGTGCTCCAATAACCTGAGAGGAAACAAGGCAGGGACCCCAGGGGTGAGGCCAGTGTCCGGGTCTATCCCCAACCCCAATCCCCACACGGGCAGGGGAAGGGACTTCAATAAATCATTTAAGCCTTCTGGACCTCAATTCCCTCATCAATAAAGCTGTTTCCTTTTTTCTATCTCTGGAGCAAGAATAGGTCTGCATGTGATTCACACAGCCCTGGATGTGAATCCCTGACCTGCCACATTTCATTGGGTGGCTTAATTTCTCAGAACCTCAGCCTTCTCCCCTGTAAAATGGGAATGCAAATCTCAACCTAATAGCCCCGTACTTACAATGAGGTGAGATAACGTATCAGAAAGCACCTGACACAGAGCCTGGCCTCAAAGTGGGTGCTCCACAAAGGAAAACCCCCAACTAGAGTGAGCACCACTATAGAGCAGGATGGAGGCGAGGCCCCTGTCTGGGCTCAGCATCAGCAGAGAGCTGCCACAGGACAGATGAACAGCACAGTGACACTTTGTCCGAGGGTCTATGACCCTCAGCCCAAGTCCTAGGCCCCCACCCCGGCAGCTTCTCCACAGCCCCCAACCCTCAGCCCTGGCTTTGACCACTTGCCTGTCCCTGAGCGTTGGTGAGGATCTGACTGCTGATCCCTGGCATGCTGGGAATGGCGTTGGCAATGACCGGAGTGGTAGTGAGGGAGCCTAGGATCTGGGTCTGTCCCCCAAGGGAAGCGGCACTGATCTGTGGTTGGAGAAAGAGCCTTGCTCAGAGCCCACAAGGTGAGAAAGAGCCCAAGGCAGGGAGGAGAAGGCTGAGGGCACTAGGGGGTGGGGGGAGATACAGATGCTGGGCAGATGTGAACGTGGGCTGCAGGCCCAGGTCCACCAGCTGAATAGCATCTAGGGCCAGGGGCTGCAGGGGGGTGGCAGGGAAGGTGGGGGGCACCGCCATGGAAGAGTAACTCTGGCTAATCTTTCAGGCCAGGCCAGGGGGAGGACAGGAAGGCCAGACTGGAGTGGCCGATGTGCATCTAGTCACATCTAGCAGTCCACTGCCAGGCCGGAGCCACAGGGGACAGACACGGGCATGGGGCTGTGAGCCTCTAGCTCCGCCTTAGTTCCAGCTCACAAGTTTGCAACCCCCAGACATCCTCCCACCCTCCAAGGCCGGTCCAGTGCTTCCGGTTCTGGAGAATTTGCCCAGGACTCTTGGCGGAGGTTGTCTGCTCTCGTCTGGGGCGGCCGAGTTGGCAGATGCAAGGAGAAGGCCTCACAGAGAGCCATCCCCGCTGATGTGTTGGAAAGGAGCCGTTTTCAGGGGGCTGGTCCTCCACCTCCTTCCTCCCCTGTGGGAAGGGCCAGTGCCACCCTTGGCCCAAGATTCGGTCCATCCCTGGTCAGCCCTGGGTGAGGGCAGCAGCTTACAATTCCTGGGCTCAGCGCAAAGCCTGCAGGCTGGACGGTGATCTGTGGGGGGGTGTCCACTGGCTTGGGGGCGGGGGCGGTAGCGGTGGCAGCTGTCGGCTGCGGTAGGATGGCCGGCGTGGTCTGCAGCAGCGGCTGGGTCTGGAACAGCGTCTGGGGCTGGGCCGCTGGCCGAGGCTGGGTGGGCGAGGAGGCCTGGACCGGCGGGACAGCTTGTACGGGTGTCGGGAGGGCGGCGTTCAGCACGGCGGCTGCTACGGAGCAAGGTAGAGACAGAGGCGCTCAAATGCCTAGCCGCAGCCCAGCGCGGCTCCAATCCCAAGGGATCTGGCACCAGAATGAGAGGGGGGTTGGGACGGCGGGGCAGAGGGGACAGGCAGCCGTGATTCCCTTGATCCTTGCAGGGGCAGCTCATGGAGGCATCTCTCTCATCCCCCCCTCCCTCGGGCCTCCTGGAGATGCGCAGGTTCAAAAAGCAGGTGGATCTTCTTGCGGTCCTTCTTAGGTGGCTGGTCGCTAGGTGAACTCTGGCCCGGTGGGGGGAGGGGGGCAGTCTCAGTTGGCTGGAGTGAGAGAGGTCTGCCTGGCGGGCCTGGTGTCACGGCCTAGAGTCCCGAGGTGGTGCAGCAGCTCTGTGGCTGGGTGCCTAGGACACCGGATCCGGACTCCAGAGCTGTCACCCTGGTGGGCCGCGCGTTCTGAGTCCCACATGGCAAGCACGCGTGCAGGGACAGTATGTAGGGCGGTGGGGGCCTGGTGCAGTCCTGGGGAGAGCTGCCGTTACCTTGCAGACCGGCTAAAGGTGGCTTGAAAATTCCCCCCGTGGGAGAAGCAGCTGTCAGTCCCGGGAGGGCAGCCACGGTTGCTGTAGGAATTGTCCACACGGCCAGCCCCTGCTGACCAGCCACTTGACCTGCAATACTGATGGGGATAAGAAGAGGTTGAGTAACCGCCCCTGCTGGAACCATAACTCCTGTCAGAACTGTGGCTAAGTTTTCCTGAGTCAAGACCTGCAAAAGCAAACAAGATTTCAAAAAGAAAAGAAAAAATAAAAAATCAACATTGACGGCGCAAACACCAGGTCTCTCAGACCCAGTTGAGCACAAACAAAGCATTCTGAGGGTGGTGGGGGAAAGGCCAGTGGCGGTGGGGAAGGGACCAGCTCTAGCCGGAGGCCCGACCCTGAGGGGGTGCGTGGACTGGACTATTGTGCCTTCAAAGAAGCTGCCCGAATGGGAGACGGGGCCTGGCCCTGTTTGCAGGACAGCAGAGGGTGTGCAGGCCTCTTCCGCCACATTCTGCTGCCTTCCAGGCCTTCCCTGGGCCCCAGCCCACAGGACCCATGCTTTGTGGCCAGGAAGCAGGCGGCAGGGGCTGGTGGAACCAGGTTGTCAAGGGCCTACAGAGACCTCTGGGAAGCTCTGACGTTGGATACCCCCCGCTGAATGTCTTGCAGATCTGTGCTAGTAGCGAAAGGTAGCAGGGAGCTCAGCACAGCCAGGGGGGACCCAGGAAGCAGCATCTCACGGAGCTGGGGCAGCCCCCTGGCTCTAAATGAGGACTCTGAACAATCCATTAACTCTTCTAGGCATCCACCTGAGGGGCTAACAAGGCCATTTACTCATTTAGTTGTTAGATAAACAGAGATGCCCGAGGCATGAGTTAATGTTATCTCTACAATCCTTGCTGGACCCAAGGATTTTAGTTGGCAAACACACATATAATCTTCCCAGTGGGCCTGATCTGGGGTAGGGGAGAGGTCAGGGGTGTCCAGGAAGGGATTTCCTCCTTCAAGCCACAGCCCCTTCCCTGTTGTGCGCCAAGGAACCCCCAGCTCCCATGGCCACCCCACATTGGCTGTCCCATGCTTTGCTCCTGCCCAGGGCAGCTCCCGGGGTGGCCCTTACCTGGGGGGCAGCTTGTACAGCCAGTGGCGTCAGGGTCTGCGATGCCTGAGGCTGGCTTGGGGCCTGGCTGAAGGTGGCACCAGCAGGGGCAGGGCTCGGAGGGATCCCCGGGAGAGACTTCACTTCACGTGGCATTGAGAGAAAGGACAAGGAGTGAGCCCGGTGTGAGTGGAGGGGTCACCGGAGTAGAACATCTTGTTGTAACTTGAAGTGCTAAACTCTCAGCCCTACCTTGTATTTTTGCATAACCCAAGGCCAATCACCGGCCTTCCCTGACCCAGAGGCAGCTTCCCAAATGCTACCGGTAGTGAGAACGGAAGGCTGGAGGGCCCCCATGCCTCACCTGAAGGTTGGTTACCCTCTCTTCACACATCTAGTTGAGGAAAATGCAGGGCTATGCACAGTTGCCTATCAAGTCGCCCATTTCCTGGCTCCATGGGACATGGTGACCTACTGCATAATCAGTAAAGGGGCCCGAAGTGAACGTGTGTCAGGTGGGAAGAAGCTAGAATTGATGGGAGCAACTTCCCTTGGCCCATCCAGCAATCGAATCATTGTTCACGCCGCCTGCAGGCAACTTTTTGGATGTAGGTGCTGGCTCGGGGAAGGGGCGAGGATCCCTGTAGGGTGAGGTCCTTGAAGCGACAGACCCTGAAAATGAGACAGGCCTTTGCCACTGCCCAGAACACAGGAGCATTCCAGGCCAGGTAGCTCTTCTCTGCCAGCTCCTGAGGTCTGAAGTCCGGCTGAGAAGCTTCACTGAGCTTCTAAAGGAACTTCCTTCCCGTTGAAGGGAGTTTTTCACCCAGCTGATGGCTTCCTCTTGCTACCTTTAGTCCAGTATTGGAGAACGCCACCAAGAAACATCTTCAAAGCCACACAACAATGAGGAGAGGAGTTATTTTTTACTACACAGTACAACTTGAAAAGAAATCTACATATTGGGTAGTGGATGTTAGACCAGATTGGTGGCCTCTTAATAATGGCTGGGCGTAGATTTCCAGGCCCTAATCTGAGCCTACCGAATCAGATGTCCAGGAGTGGAGGTCAGTAACCTCTCCTCTCCCTCTTTTTCCTTTTAAGCCCACTTGTGACACATCATGCAACCAGAGGAGGAATCACTGAATTAGACAGCCTTCCAACCCTGCGTTCCTGGCCCACATTTTCATCTGGAAAGGCAGTAACCTAACTCAGGACTATAATGTTCACAGTCTATAATGAAAAAAAAATCCAGTTGTTTAAGGAATCAAAGAGAAAACAGGCAACAACAAAAGTCTTGTAAAATACAAAAAGAAAACAAAATGGTGGGTTTGTCTCCACCATGAAAGGGAAATAGAGTTCTAGCTACTGAAAAAAATCTCAGTATCAGGATACTCTGAACTCATAAAAATTTTAAAAATCTTTTGCTTGACAAAATGTTATGAAATATAAAAAAAAGGAAAGTGGGAAAAACATGAATGAGAAAAGCTTACCATCTAAAGAAACAGAATGCTCATTTTATTAGGATTTATTTCCAAAGTAGGACCAAGGGTCCAAGGGTTTGCCTATATTTAGGGCTTTTATCACTTCTTACTAGACTGCTTTTCAGAGAACCCATTCAGAGAACCTTCAATAAAGTGCCTGTTTCTCCACAGTGCCACCCAATGTAGGTTTTATCACTGTTTATTTATTTTTCTGGCTTAACAGGCAAGTGGTACCTTGTAGCCAATTACTAATCCTCTCATTGATAAATTTTGTATTTTTCCATGTGATGGCTTCCTCTTATGGACACAATTGATTTCTTTTTGAAAGGAATTTGAGGGGCACCTGGGTGGCTCAGTCAGTTAAGCATCCGACTCTTGACTTCGGTTCAGGTCATGATCTCACGTTATGTGGGTTTGAGCCCCACAGCCGGCTCTGCACTGATAGCATGGAGCCTACCTGGCCTTCTCTCTCTCTCTCTCTCCCTCTCTCTCTCTGCCCCTTCCCCGCTCTCTCAAAAAAAATAATTTTTTAAAAAAGAGTTTGAGTGGATTATACCTCAAAGAGAAAACATTTCAAAGGACCAGTACAAAGACACTCAAAACATCACTGGTTATGGCAGTAAAAAACCAGACAGTTTGACAGTAGTCAAAAGCAGAATCAGGTGTGTGAAATCGATGTCAATAAAGGAAATGGGCATATGAATAATATGGTGATAATTGACCTACTACAGTCTACCCTTGGTGGCCACAACTATAAAAATACACACAGGGACAAGGACTGGGTAATAGTTTAGAGTGATATAAATCACTAGATTTTTTCATCCTGAAAAAGTTTCCCATTACGTAGTTTTAAGAGGAACCTTCTTTTCTTTTTCAATTTTTTAATGTTTATTCATTTTTGAAAGAGAGAGAGAGAGAGAGGGAGATGCAGAATCCAAAGCAGCCTCCAGGCTCTGAGCTGTCAGCACAGAGCCTGATGTGGGGCTCGAACTCACATCCAGTGAGATGATGACCTGAGCCAAAGACAGACACTTAACTGACTGAGCCATCCAGGTCCCCAAGAGGAAACTCTTCTCAGGACTGCATATCTAGAAAGGTTCCATCAAGGCCACACTCTAAGATGGCGGTTTCTTGGGAGGTACCATCAAAATACCTCCCTTACTTTCCTGACAATCACTAAAATTCCTTTACAGAGAACAGGACTTTAGTGAAGAGGCTTAAATGTACAAACCTCTGGAAGAAGATGCACACTACCGTAACCGTTCATGCTAAGGTGTGGATAGTTGATTTAGGATCCATTTCCGAGAGCAGGTTTGAACAAGAAACAGAATTAAGGCACCCGATGAAATGAGATATGGAAGATGGTTGAAAAAGTAAAAAGGGAAGCTGGGGACCCTGTGGGCAAACCTGGGAAAACTGAAATTTCTGAAAAGGGGCCCCATCCCACCATGGAAAGGAGTGAGAAGAGCTGCCAGGTGTAGAATCCTTGTCTTTGCTGGCGGCTCTCTAGGGCACTGCCCTGCTGAAGCATATGATGCCCCACCCTGGCCTTGACGTGGAGCAGAGCATTTCCAGGCTAGGGGAAAACGGTCAGGCCTCTTGCCATTCCTTTATTCAAAAGGGGAAACATAACCTAGGTTACCAGGGTGCCAAATGAATCTGTGTAGTGATTTGCAGGCAGAGTGAGGGATGTGAGTTCTTACAGTTTTCTTACTCAGGAGTTGCTCTTTCCCTAAAGCCTGTCCGTTCTCATTTGCTCTCTTCTCGGCAACTCTTCTTGGCCCACCTCCCCCCCCCCCCCCAGCCCAGATCTCCAATCTGGGGAAGGGAAGAGGAAGGCTAGGGGAGATGAACTGTGGAGTTCTGGGGGCAGGGACTAACTAGGGGGCCCCAGGTTTCCAGCAAAAGATGTCTACTCTGAAAGGTGTCAATGAGGAAAGTCAATGAAAGGGGGCCCCGTGGCCAGAGAGCCGTGCCTGGTACCGGTCCCAGCCTCTAGAACAGCCCTGGCTATCATGCACCTATACTGCAGGGTAGTTAGGAGAGACGGTGTGGGTGGATTATCCCTATCCATTCCCCCTACAGGAGAATCAAGTTCTTGCCTAAAAGTCATCTTTGGTAGACAGCACGATTATAAAACACCAGGCTTGACTCACGCCAGTCCAGCTGGGAGGAAGGAGCTGGGATTCTGCAAGGTCCTACCTAACCTAAACCCTTAGTGCGGGGCAGGTAACATACCCTCCTATCCCCAGCAGCTGGAACCTCCCAGATCCACCCACAGAAGGTACTGGGTTGGAAAGGTTGTCAGGGTCCTGAAGGTCTAGTCCTTTCTGCACTGCGCCTTTCTGGCTTGGGTGCGGAGCCCTCTCTAAGGTTAATTCAGTCCCCTCAACTGGGCTCTCCTCCCACCTCACCCTGACCCAGCCCAGCTGAGATACGGAAGTGAATGACCAGAACTAAAGTTCCAGGGACACAGAAGGCAGGGCAGTCCTAGAAGCTGGGCAGAAGGACAGCTGTGGCCATAAGTTGTCCAGTGGACAAGAAGACAAGACCCTGAGGCCACCCTGGCCCTAGGGACTCACGCTGGCTCTCTGAGGAGGCAGAGAAAAGGACTCAGGTGGACCAACGCCAGATGGGAGCAATGGCCTCGTACCAGTTGCCTCTGCAGAGGAGTCTGGGTTGTCTGGCCCGGCGTCACCGGCCGGCTCACTGGCTTCAGCAGGGCCTCTGCTCTGGGAGCTCTCGGCAGCGACGCCCTCCAGTCCTTTGCCCTCCTCCTCAGCAGAGATCTGGGCATCCACCCCAACTTCCAGCACGCGGATGGTCTCATGGCCTGACATCACAATGACCTGAAACCAGAAGACAGAGGACATTCCGGCTGGGGGAGAGAGGAGAGGGCACCTGGAGATGAAGACCTGAGGGCTGAGTGCTGTGACAATTCCACAGGCTGCGACTCCCTGATCCTAGGAAAGGAGCTTCTGTAAGAAACTGGGGCCTCATGACACGAGGAGGGCTTGACACAGCTAAAAAAAGCCCCACAGAGCCAAACCACTTGGGGATATTGCTATTTGCTCCCTGTTCCGGACTCGGTTCAGGGAGTGGTAAGTGGCCATTCCCGCAGCCTTGCAAGGATATCCTCTTAGCTGCTGGGATATTGGACTGCGGTTATGAAGGCTCCTAACTGGCACAGTACCCAGAACTTGGGCTGGGCCAAGAAGCAGATCCCTCTTCACTTCTCTTGAAACCTTACAGAAGTTCCCTCCAAGATAAAGGGGTGGAAGTGAATGCTCCACAATGTTGAGTAACTTTTTAGGCTCATGATTCCAAAACTCTGGGGTAAAGGCCAAGGTTTCCCAGGCCAGTGAACTTCCTGAAACCAGGGTCAGGAATACTGTAGATGCAGCCGCTGGCCCCACCTCCCCGGCCTGGAGCCACACCTCCCCGGCCTGGAGCCACACCTCCCAGGCCTGGAATCCCACCTCCCAGGCTTGGAGCCTTGCACCCAATGGACCTTCCATGTTGCAGCGGTGGGGGCAGCCTGTGGGCCTTCTCAGAACGCTTGGTCTTCTTCCCCTGCTCAAAGAGCCAACACTCAGCTCTTTACCTCCAGCACTGGCATGCTTTGAATTGGACCATTCAAGAATCAGGGACATTCTGTATGTTCAAAATCTCCGTGTCAGGCCTCCCCAGCACCTGGCCTGCACCTGAAGGGACTCCCACAACACCGCCCTCAAAATTGAATCCAGCCAGAGATTGCTGGAAAAAGTGACAATGTGACCTGTCAGGGCAGTAGGAGTGAAAAAACCACCAAAAGCAGTTCTTTTTCTGGTTTAAACTTGATATGAGGGACTTCAGTCCAGTTACATTTTAAGAGATGTTAATTTTCTATTTCCTTTAAAAAAATTATGTAATATCAGCATTTATCAAAAAATTATGTAATGAATATACACTACAAAAAATTATGAAATATGTATAGGAAAAAATAGAGTAAATTACCTGATGTTCAAATCTTTTCCTTATGTAAACTTAAACATATTTGTACATATATTTAAATTTTTAACTTATTTTTTTAAGTAAACTCTATCCCCAGGGTGGGGCTTGAACTCATGACCCTGTAATCAAGTGCCACATGCTCTCCTAAGTCAGACAGTAATCCCATACAAGTTTTTATATTTTAATTTCACTTTTTTTAAGTTTGTTTATTTTGAGAGAGAAAGAGAGCATGAACAGGGTAGTGGTAGGGAGAGAGAGAATCCTAAGCAGGCTCTACACTCTCAGCACACAGCCCAATAAGGGGCTCGAACTCATGAACTGTGAGATCATGACCTAAGCCAAAACCACTCAAGTGCCCCTAGGCTGTGACTTTAAAAAGTTAAATTAAGGGATTCCTGGGTGGCTCAGTCGGTTAAGTGTCTGCCTCTTGATTTCGGCTCAGGTCACGATCTCGTGGTTTGTGAGTCTGAGCCCCGAGTTGGGCTCTGCAATGACAGCATGGAGCCTGCTTAGGATTCTCTCTCTGCCCCTCCCCTGCTCCTGCATGCATATACATGCACCTCTGCTCTCTCTCTCTCTCAAAATGGATAAAATAAACAAACAAACAAATAAATACTAAGGTCACAGCTTAAATCCCCAAGCTCAGGGGCGCCTGGGTGGCTCACTTGGTTAAGCATCCAACTTTGGCTCAGGTCATGATCTCATGGTTCGTGGGTTCAAGCCCCACATTGGGTTCTGTGCTGACAGCTAACTCAGAGCCTGGAGCCTGCTTCAGATTTTGTGTCTCCCTCTCTCTGTGGCCCTCCCCTGCTCATGCTGTCTCTCCCTCAGAAATAAACAAAACATTAAAAAAAAATTTTTTTTTAAATCCCCAAGCTCAGTCCTTGAGAAATACTACTGGTGACTACACTGGATGGGTGAAGTCAGCCCAGGTTTTGGTAAGAAACAGATACTGACAGGCTCTATGGAGTGTTCCTCCTGGCCACACCCCAGAGTCTATCACCCTCACTCCCCCGCCTCTTCCTGCCCCAGAACATACCTGCTCATTGACAGTCAGGGATGACTCTGGTCCAGCTCCAGGATCCATGATCACTTAGGGTGGTGTGGGGGGCGGCCCACACCTAGCACAGCTCCTGTGGGATGACATAGGATGAGAAAAGCAAAGGCTGATGTACATAGTAACACAATTTCTATACCATCTCGCAAAGTCAGGAGTAGAATGGAAGGAAGGGAGAAAAATCTAAACTCTCCAAAGCATCTGTAGAAGTAAAGAAAAACAGGATTCTAAGGACCTTAAAACTCAAGTGTCTTGCTTCCTACAGCAACCCAAGAGATCCTCCGCTCAGGAGGACCCAGGGTGACAAGAGGAAAGTGGGGGCCAGGCATCTGTCCCTGGGAGTTCCCCAGTCTACAGGGAGAGAGCAGACCCAGCAGAACCCAAGCTGACTTTGACCCAGACGTTCAGAACCTCAGACACAGGAAAGGAGCACTCTGGCTATCATAGGGCTTCTCCGGGGAGGAGTCTGAGCAGACTTCCTGGAAGAGACAGTAAAGACCTGAATCAATTGAAACAGTAGTCCCAAACCTGAATGTGCATGATCACCACCTGGAGCACTTATTAAAGATGCAGACCCCAGCTTCCCCTGGGAGTCTGATTCAGCAGGTAGGTCCCACAGAATCAGCTCTTTAGTGATTTGGTGGCAGTGGCCTAAGGACCATACTGGCCTTTAACACCGGCACCAGGACAATGGCCCAGATGGTGAGCGAAGCAGCCTGCCAGATGCAGCGAGAGGGAGTGGGGGGACCTCTTGTGAAGAACAGATTCACAGACCATACAGTCATAAGAAATAAAGGTATAAAGCAGACAAATAGGTTTAGATACTTGTACAGAAAAGAAGGCAAGTAGCATTTACGCTGAGTACGTATAATGCTAGGTGTTTATATAACACTTACTCATGCTCATTACTTGTGCCAGCTGGGGGATGGGAGCGTCATTACCACCATGGTACAGATGAGGGCCCTAAGCTCAGAGAGATGTGCTCGCTTCCACCTCTTTCCCTTCCTCGTCCTCTATTCAACCCTGGGTTGGCTGACAGGTTTTCCTTGTTTGGTTATTTTCTCGATTGAGGTAAAATCCACATCACATAAAATTCACCATTTTAAAGCATAAAACTCCGTGGTATTTAACACATCTATAATGTCGTGCAACCATCACCACTATTTAGTTCCAGAACATTTTTGTCATCCCCAAAGGGCACCCCATACCCATTAGCAATGACTCCCTTTCTCTGCCCCCACCAGCCCCTGGCAGCCGCTAGTCTGCTGCTTCTCTGCGGATTTGTCTCTTCTCCATATTTCATATGAATGGGTTCATACAATAAGTGGCCTTCGTGTCTGGCTTCTTTTACTTAGCAAAATGTTTTCGAGGTTTATCCACATTGTAGCACGTATCAGGACTTTAATCCTTTTTATAGCTATGGAATAATGGATTATATGGGGTGGGCTTTCTCTCTGATGATGGCTGAGAGAGAAGCAAACCGAGATTTCATTTCCAAGATGGAAAGCACATCACACTCAGCTGTGACTTGACCAGCACACCACATGTGTGTGCCAACCCACCACCTCCCCATATAAGCGGTTCAAGAAAAAAACCCCTGGAGCGCCTGGGTGGCTCAGTCAGTTAAGCATCTGACTTCGGCTCAGGTCATGATCTCACGGTCCATGGGTTCGAGCCCCACGTCAGGCTCTGTGCTGACAGCTAGCTCAGAGCCTGGAGCCTGCTTCAGATTCTGTGTTTCCCCCCTCTCTCTCTGTTCCTCTCCCACTCATGCTCTGTCTCTTTCTCTCTCAAAAATAAATAAAAGCATTAAAAAAAAAAGAAAAAAAAACCCTGTAAGTATAACAATTAGATAATGATTAAAGAACAGAAGATCTTCATTGAATCCCTGTTACAGCATGGTAAAATATCTTAAAATAGAGAATGAAGAAAACTATCAGAACTTTTCAATGAAACCAGTATCTTCTCCAGGAGGAATCTCAGGAACATTTTTTGTTAAGTTTATTTTTTTTTTTAGTAATCTCTATACTCAACACAGGGCATAACCTCATGACCCCATGATTAAGAGTCACACACTCTACTGACTGAGCCAGCCAGGTGCCCCTGGAATTTCAAGAACATTTTGAACACATAGATAGGAAATCTGAAGGAAATACATATTTGGAAAATACCTTCAAGAATATCATTGTGTGTGAATCTAACCACTTGATACTGGGTCATGCAATGGTCTCCAAAACAATTTTGTGAATGAGAATTCCCAAACGAAGATTTGGGAGATTAAACTAGCTTAATGGATAGATCAAAGACTGATTTGTGTTAGTTACAGTTGTTTGAAAAGGAGGTGGAGAAGCTGTAGTCAGCTGTTGCTTTACAAGGTGCTGTCAGCTACATCTGAACAAGACTTGACCTTGCTCAGTTGATAGACCACCATGGGTTAGATGACCAATTGTTACACTATAACAGAAATGAAGAAGAACTGGGGCACCTGGCTGGCTCAGTCGGTTAAGCTTCTGACTCTTGATTTTGGCTCAGGTCATGATCTCACGGTTTGTGAATTTGAGCCCCCCATCAGCGGGCAGTGGGCAGTGTGGCGCCTGCTTGGGATTCTTTCTCTCTCTCACTCTGCCCCTCCCCTGCTTGTGCTCTCTCTCTCTGTCTTTCTCTCAAAATAAATAAACTTAAAAAAAATGAAGAACTTACAGGTGTTTAATTCAAATTTTTTCTCTAGAATATCTTTGAAAATGATAATATAATTAAAAGATACACACTTTTTTGGATACTTACACAAATTAAAGGAAGATCTAAATCATTAGGGCTTAGAGAATAGTGCCCTGATGACCATCAATTTAGGGCACCCCGTTATATAAATATAAACTAAATTATAAAATGAAAACTTAGTATTTTGGATAAATTTGGCAAAGAAGATTTGACATTTAAAGAAATGTGAAAAAAATATGATTAAAAACTAATTTGGACAATTCTGGAAGTCAGTTTTGATATATTGTTTTTTTACTGTGGTAAAAATTTTTATTTTAAGGGGCACCCTGCTGGCATAGTTGGGAAAGCATGCAACTTTTGATCTCAGGGTTGTGAGTCCAAGTCCCACATTGGGTGTAGAGATTACTTAAAAATAAAATCTTTTAAAAAATTTATTTTAAATGTTTTTTTAAAAAGTCCAATCTGGTGAACATCTAAGCCTAAACAGCTCTAAAAATGCCTGCCTGTCACCTAATTTTATGACCCTTGTTTCCATTCATTTACCACATATATTTTTTTTAACTAAAAAACATTTTTTTTTTGAGACAGAGACAGAGCATGAGTGGGGGAGGGGCAGAGAGAGAGGGAGACCCAGAATCTGAAGCAGGCTCCAGGCTCCGAGCTGTCAGCACAGAACCCGATGCAGGACTCGAACCCACAAACCGTGTGATCATGAAGCCAAAGTCAGACGATTAACCAACTGAACCACCCAGATGCCCCTATTTACCACATATTTCTATCTGGATGGTCTAGTAGGTAATTAAACTCGTATGTCCTGAAAAAAAAAATCCATTGCATGGATATACCATGTTTTGCTTATCCATTCCTCGGCTGATGGATGTTTGGGTTGTTTCTACCTTTTGACCAGGTGAATAGTGCTTCAATGAATTTTTGTGTACAAGTTTCTGTTTGAATACTTGTTTTCAGTTCTTGGTGTATATGCCTAAGAGTGTCACTCCTAGCTCACCTAAGAGATTTTAGGGTCTTCACCCTTTACTAGAATGTTCCCTGTCCAAAAAGGCAAGGAGAACCATGAGATTCCTTGTCTCCCTTTCCTTCCCTAACTATCTAGAGCAGGGATGAAAGTAAGGGTAAGAAATTTAAGACACTTAGCAATTTGAGAAAAGAAGAAACAAGGCCTCCCTCTTTAGGTATAACAGGGGGTATAGGAGGAGCAAAGGAATTTGCTGGAAGAGCTAGTAGGCATCTTCCAACATCACTGGGACTCTAGCCTCATTCCTGGGTCATGTCCTCCTCCAGATTTTGTACATGGGAGTCTTCTATGAGTTTTGCCAATAACTTGACAATTTATTACCTCTTCTGAATGGGAACTGGCGTGAGCCATGAGCTTTGTTACATAAAGAAGTCAGGGGCACTTAGGTGGCTCAGTTGGTTAAGTGTCCAACTCTTTTTTTTTTTAATGTTTTATTTATTTCTGAGGGAGAGAGACAGCATGAGCAGGGGAGGGTCAGAGAGAGAGGGAGACACAGAATCAGAAGCAGGCTCCAGGCTCTGAGCTACCTGTCAGCACAGAGCCCCACACGGGGCTCGAACCCACGAACTGTGAGATCATGACCTGAGCCGAAGTCGGACGCTTAACCGACTGAGCCACCCAGGCACACCAAGTGTCCAACTCTTGACTTCAGCTTAGGTCAAGGTCTCAGGGTTCATGGGTTCGAGCCCTGAGTTGGGTTCTACATTGATAATGCTGAGCCTGCTTGGGATTTGCGCTCTCTCCCAAAATAAATAAATAAACTAAAAAGCAAACAAAGAAATTCAATTAGTAAGTCATTTGCAAATTCAAATAAAAGGCAGACACCAAACTGAGAGGAAAGATATGCAAGATAAATTTGGGTCCATTATGGCTTGATATGTACATTTCACGGAGAAAGAATTTTCCAATCCCAAAGGCCTTTAGGCAGGACGCACTGGTAACCAGTCATCGTGCGGTAAGGAGCATCTGTTCAAGAGGGGCTTAAAGCCTGCTCATAGTCTTGTTGTGGCCCCTGGCTCCTTACTGCCAACCACAGCCACTCATGGGAAGTTGTTAAGTAACTGTCCACTTTGTGGCTGTGTTATTAGGGAGATCAAGTAGTAGAGAAGGCTCAGGTAATTCTAAATTCCCTTCTGCCCTTGAGATTCTATGAGCTTATGTGGACCTGGCTTCTCAATGTCTAGCCCTTGCTGTCAAGGGCAAAGTCAGTCCTGGCTCAGAGCCTCTGGCCACACACAGCCCACTCTAACCCACCAACCAGGCTTTAGCACACCAGAAAAGCAGGCAGAACAGAGACAAAGGCCTCCCTCATTTCAGACCCTAGA